CGTGAAATTTCCAGATTCGTTTGCACACGTTTGCGTATCAAAATTTCAACATGAAATTTTACGAAAAATAGACATCTGAAAAGGCAGCACTTTCTAATTAGCCTATAAAGGGGGTGAGTATGCTTCTAAAGCAAAAATGAACTACAAACTAAGCCTAAATGTGCAAATCAATATTTGACAAAGTTCGACATGTTTTTGTAAATGGTGGCAGTGTGGCCTTTATTTACGGAGGCAGTCCAGTGAAATGGCCACATTTATGGGGCTATTTCTGGATGAGGTGGATGACATGCGACATACGAGGTTGTGCCTGTCACGTGAGGTAGCTGAGTAAAACATTCCCTCGTACAGGGCGGGGGTACGAGCGGAAGAAAATGATGGTTTGGGCAGTCATCACATCACAGTTTGCGGTCCTCGTAGTCTTGGAGTCCAGTGGTTGAACAGTCCAGTTTTTATAGCGATTGGTAATCGACACCCGCGGCGTGTTATAGAGCCGATCTCGTACACCTGGTACCCTGCTGCCTCTGCACGGCCTAACCGCTAGAAACGCCCGGCATCCAAGTCTACTGAAAAACCACCTCCCTCTCATGCCACAGTGGGTCTATATACACGTACATGTACATGACGTACATGTATAGTACATACAGGGGACCAAGTTGGAAAAGAAACACGCATCGCAATATCGGAACGCTTGCGCGTTGTTCAGGCAAGTCAAAAGATCTATCTTTCTTTGTTTTTTTAATCCTTTTTCCATGGAAAGTGAATTTTGATTTTCAATTATTTAGCTTGACCCACCCACCCACAATTTGGAAAAAAGATCGAAATTTTAAAACATTGAAAATTCTGAATGGCCCCTTACCTCGGGTACCTGGGTTAAAAGGAGTAATTGAGGTAAAGCGCCTTACTCAAGGGCACAACACGAATGGCCACGGCGGTGGTCGAACCCATAACCTCACTATCATGAATCTTGTGCTCTACTGCTAGACCACACGTGCCCACATGCAAATTCAAAATAATGTGAGAAGAAACATGAATATTCGTCCCTTACTGCACTGCACTGCAATGTGCGGTGTGATCTGGGCATTTCATTCGTGGTTGAATCGGCCATTTTTACAGCTCTTGTTGTGCTAGCGGCAGTGCCGAAAGGTAGCGTATATTTTTCTTTTCTTGCGCTTTGTTATCGACTTTAAGGGGATTTTTTTAGGGGTCCTTAAACTGATAGTATTTAAGTTAACGCACTGACATTTCCAGTTTCAGGGTGAAGAACGATCCTTTTCTCTTCAATACCGTTGAAGGTGAGTTGACAAACCAATCTTTATTCTCGTTCTGTGTAATGGCATGCAACGCGCCTTGGCAAAGGGACGGGCAGATGTTTGCGTCACGCCGGCACAAATGCCAAGGGGAGGGGCGTGCGATATCCCAGTATGATATCAAAATACGTAAAACACATTTTGCCCATTTTTTTTTTTAAAGTGAAAAACCAATAAATGCATTCAATAATGTGGAAATCCCAGGCAAAGTCGGTTCATGTTCGTACGTTTTTGTTTTTGCTTGCTCCCTTTTGTACCCCTTTCCGCCTGCGGTCAGTCTTTCAAATTGTTTTATCTAGTTTTTGTAAGACAGACATTTTGTTCGCTATTTTATCGTCTCTGGTTTAAAAATACCTTAAATAAAATGTCGTTTACTCTAAGTTCGTTTTTGTTTTTATAGACGTCTTGCATTCTAATGTAAACTTTGCCTTTTTTTGTGCGTTTTGTGTTATTCTTTTTTTATTGTACATATATTTTTATAATTATTTATTTTAGGTAAGTCCACTCAGTCAAAAGAGCCTCATTATAGTAAATTTGTATTTTTTAGGTGATTCTTATCGCACTGTACAAATAACTGCGCGCGCGTCGCCGTAGCCATGGGCGTAGGCAAAATTAAAAAAAAACCCAACTTTTTCAATGCAAGATAATGTCTCCGTCAAACTGCCAAACTCACTGGTTTGATTGGAATTCTGCTGCTACACGATTTCAACGTGTTTTTAGATGGGGTTACGATCGAGTATAAGCTTTATCTGGCCTCTCTGGGCTCCCATATATTTTGCACTAAATTTAGTCTTGCACCATTTGTAGTTGGTGTTGCAATTTTGTAATTATGCGTCTGGAAGCCAGACAGAGGAAGCGATGATCGTGTATCTGGAACCTGTAACGCTTTTTTTTTCATTGGCGCAATATGTAAGGGAGCAGACCAATGACCAGCCTGGCAGCTCATGCACGATGTCGCAGTATGGTCTGAAGTTACAGTTTTCTCTGAGGTTTGTCTTGACTATCCAAATGTCAAAAAAAAAACTGTTCGAGTGTCGGTCGAATTCATAAGTGGGTGCAGAATTCTCAAGCCTTATGGTTGTTGCGGGAACTTCCCGGACCAACCCAAGTCTGTTAGGATAGGTCTGACTCCTATAAAGCCCGGTACATACTTCATGCGAATGCGCAGCGAATTTGACGTCATGAAACGTTCGCTGCGAAATTCGCCCGAGTTGAAACATGTTCAACTTTTACGAATTCGCAGCGCGAATACTTGCCATGACGTCACAAATTTGCGTTCGGTTTCGCTTTCGTGCAGAGTATGAACCGGGCTTTAGGTGAAGATCTTAGACAATCTTTTCAAACCAAGTCTCTTCCCTAGACGAGAGATCACTCAGAGGCTAAGGGTGCAGGTCTGTTTTGGTGGAAATCTAATGCTCGATTGTGAATGATTGTTAATTACCCTGTTAATTGCACAATGAACCTGTAACAGAGACACCTGAAACAGAATTTTACAGTAATAAATGTACAGTAATTGGAATTAATAGGCGTGGTTGTTCTATAATCTGGGTCCTTTAAATTTTGGAGGGATGAGCCAAGCCTTCTGCATGAGCAGCAATGCGCAACAGCATTCAGAAATGCAGAGAACAATGTCAGCAATGCACGGCAATGTCAGCAATGCATCACAATGTCTTCAATGCGCTCCAGTAGCTCCTAAGCTCCTAAGCTCCGCCCAGTCACTAACACACCGTGGATTAAGCGTTAGCGCTATTATGTATGACGTCAAATATACACTGGCTCTAAGCTCACACACTTTCTGTCACATGGTTTTACTGAGGTCACCTCAAGCTCCACTCTGAAAGATATATTTGTGAGAGAGTTTTAAGGAGATTGAAGCGTCATCTGCAACGCCGACATTTGAAGAAAAACAAGTTGGGGCCAAAAAAACCCTCTTCGCCGCACCACTTTTGGGGCAAGCTCCATACCATAAACCGGATTCTTTTTTTTTTTTTGGCCTTAGGGAGCCGTTTAGTTTCGACTTTGTATATCAAATGCTGTTGCTATTTTAATTGCATGTCTTTTTAGCTGTTTACTGTATCTGTTGTCCACTTTACTATTACATCCAGAGAGATAAAACAAATGTAAATATTTTTCTTCACTGATGTAAATCGATACTAGTGCTGCAAAATTGTTATCACTAGCCCGAGCTCCGTATTTATCATGAGTAGTGCTGCATTTTCAATCTCGTCATGTACACATCTGTTGCAAACAACAATCAATGCAAAACTTACACCAATGCCCACTGCCATTTCCTGTCGCAGACAGTGAAGCTGAAGCAATTGATTAAAGTGTTCGTTGTATCTGGTGGAGGTATATGTGATCGAAAAAGATGTCTGTGCATCCAGCTTACAAATGTCTACTTTTCCTTCTGTTAGTGGTGGTCCTCGTTGCAATGATCATACGTAAGTCTAATATAATAATTAGCAAGTTTTGACATTGAATTCTGAAACACGTTCGTGTTTGTTGTTATGTTTCTTGGACCAAGCAATCGGCGAGGTGATTGCGACCAAACATAAACGTGTTTGGTGTTTAATATAGTGGCCCTGATGAAAGGACATCAAAGACTTAAACAATTTATATGTTGACATCGCATTTTTTTTTCTCGACATAAACTTTACGACATGCATTCATGTCGTGTTTTTTTGTCGCGAATATTTTCCAGCCACCTTATCCAGGTCGCAAAATACATTGCTTACGTCTCTGGTGTCCCTTTATGGCCGTAATAATGCTGGTCGTTGCTTTATTGATAGGCCGAAATGAGAATGAGCAGATATACCGGTGTTGATCATCGTACTAGGCTGTCACCTAACTGTACATTGTTACCTTTCTGTACCTCTCCCCAGGTCATTTGATGACCGTTGAACAGGGAAGTCCTCGTCACTTTAAAGTAAACCAAGAATAGTTTAAAGCTGCACTTGAAAGTTTAGGACATTATTTATACTCGGTGACTCAATCGGCCGGCCGGTCAGTCAGTCAGTCGGTCGGTCAGTCGGGGAGTCGGTCGGTCAGTCGGTCAGTCGGCTGACCGGTCGGCCGGTCGGCTGGCGCGTAACTTGGTTAGAGTACAAAAGGCTGGCCTGGTCCAGCAGAAGAGTTTGAAAAATGTTTTAAAAAGTTGTTTCACATTTCAATTGCACTTATTCATGATACAATCGTATGTGCTTTTAATAAGTGGTAACCAAATCAACAGATACTCACATCGGCTCAGAGAGTGAAAGTATTATTTTTGTTCTTCAAACTTCCCCTGGCCCCCGTCCATAGGTGCACGGGTACTGGTCTAAGTAAAAAACGGAGCCAATTTAATATCTCATTGATCACATCATTATGGTGTACGTTAATATGGGAATTAAGTCATTTCAGTGGTCCACAATTACCTCTCTCGTTGCACACTGCCACGTGGTGTACGTTAGGCTACAACATTCTTCGTTTATACAGTCGTCCACACCGATGGCGCGAAACGCGCACGTTTTATAGCATTTTGTGAAGCTATAGAATAAGCTAGCACCACTATCCATATTGCGGCATGTGCACGATCTGTTAATGGCTGCCATTTAAGAATGATTTCTTTCCCCTTTTGCAGTTAGTTCGATAACCTACACTATTGCTCCAAAACCACTCGCCGTGTACCATGTCGGCAAGTGCAGTGCGGCCGACATGGAGTGCAGTGCTTCCCACACTAACACAGTTTCACGAGGAACTTACGGGAATATTTCCAGAGAGATCCAGGATGAACAAAAGCCAGCTACTATACAGGGACGAGTGACAGCCAAGATCAGTAGCACGGAGGGAGTCACCCGTGGACGTCTGTCTAACTGTTCCCTCGCTGATATCAGGAAGAGGTCAGGGATTATGCTATTAACAACAACGAACTTTGCCTTTTTGGACATGACTTTGAACATGATTGAGAGTATCAAGAGAGCAGGCCTATGCGTGAATACCACAGTCATTGCAGAGGACCAAAAATGTCATCAATATCTGAAAGATAGATTCAAGGAAGAGCCAGGTGTGCACGTCATAATGACTAACTCGGGAGAAACAAGAAGTCAACTTATACCAAGATATACTCGCGAGTACTTCCGGTTTTTCAATAAGCGTCAGTCGTACATTCTTGCGTTATTGGAGAAAGGGCTTGAGGTTCTTTTCACTGATTCTGATACATTTTGGTTCCGAGACCCTTTCCCATACTTCCAAGGAGACTTCGATGTGTCTATGATGGACTCGAAATCACCCTACCCTACTCGGACAGAAAAGGCAAATTTTTGTGCAGGTTTCGCGTACTACAAGCCGACTCCAGTGACAATTCGATTCGTTAAGGCGTGGATACGAACCATTGAGAATAACGAAAAAACCGGGAAGATACGACAAGATCAAGGGGTGATGAATACCCTTTTACGAACCGACGATCCGGTGCATGTGCGTGTCCAACCGTTGGACATTAAAGTTTTCCCTGATGGTCCCAAGTTTTATTCTCTGTTAGCTAAAATGGCCAACTACTCTCCGGTAGTGATGCACGCCGCCACAATCCGTGGACATGAGGCCAAGATTGAAAAACTCAAAAGTTCAAACATGTGGCTTGTGAATATCACGACTGGTTAGGAGGTCAAATGATCACTCATACCTACTTCCTGATGTGCTCAGAATAAACTGTATACGATCGTTAGAAAAGTCCAGTATCCATGTACCTGCATAAAGCATCCCATGGGCTATACACTTTGTTAGCTCAAATGTTAGACACGCAGAATTTATTTGATGAAAAAGTAGGTTTTTTTTTACGTTTCACTTTCCATTTTGCACAAATTTCGCCACAGATCCAGACCAAACATTTGGATGGAATACATGAACAGGTAGGTGACGTAAACACCTATAGCTCAGCTTCTATGTCGCTGTGCTAAGAATATTCCTATCTCTGTGCTTAGATAAGTAACATGCACACTTTTAAGTTGCCAAAATCTTCAATAAACTAAGAAATTTCAATAGTTTACCCAAATGTGGCCACAAGAATGAATCCAACAGGCTAGAGTGGACCACACCCACGTTTCTTTGTTTGACTTTTTTTTTAACTGCACTGTATAAATCATGAAATCGCTACTTATTGAAAAATGTATTACTTTGTTTATCAGGTATAGCGCCCACATATTCTGTTTCCATGACATATCATGACATACTTTGAGAACATTTACCATGTCAAGTTTTACCAAGATGGGTAATCTCGAAGATTAACCTTTTACCTCCCAACCCAAAGGCTAAGAATATCAGAACATGGCCTCAGCAGGACGGTTTTTAACTCACTCAAAAAAATCACCCAAAGATTATTCAATTTTAAATTTGCCAAGACCTAGCTCTCAAATTAGTTCAACAGTAGTTGGATAAGAAACATGTTTGCTAAGAAAATGTATGTATTGTTCAACCCGAGGCGGCTTCAATATGTGGCGTCCTTAGAGAGTGCATCCCTACATTTTCACTGTTAACGTCTTTTTGTCTGGTGGGGATGACTGCCAACGATTACAAATACACCCGTGTCGGTGGGTTCGGAGGGGGGGAGGAGGGGTGTACTTGCCTACATTAGTATTTTTGTTAAGTTTCGCTAAATGAGACTGAGGCCCATTGGCACCATGCCAAATGGGGTCAATTTTGCATGTAATCAAAATTTTGAGAACAAGAACGAAACCAGTATCATTTGATAGCTTGGAACATTTAGATCATGGAAATTTAACTTAAGAGCGATTTTAGATCAGACTAATTAACTAAAGAGCGGCCTGCAAAGCGCGGAGGATGGGCGTGGCCGCCACCCACTCTTTTTCCTTTTTGCTGATGCCGTTGCAACGCAACGGTAGAGAAGAAAATGAAACCAGTTTGTATTGATGCCTTGGCACTTGTGGAACATGAAAATATTACTTAAAAGTGATATTATCAGACTAGATCAGACTAGTTACCTTAAGACCGGCGGGAAAAGCCCGGAAGGGGCGGGGTCTCAACCCCCCTCCGCCTCGGCTCTTATCGGCGTAAGGCATTTTCTACAATCCTGCCAATTTTTGTTGACAGTTATTCTGATGTCTTGCGGTTATTTTGACACCAAGTTTATGCAAATAGGGCATACTTTGGTCATAAAATGTTAATTTTCCAACACAAGTATATGCTTAAATGTTAACTTTCCATTAATTACTTGGAGCAAGTAGGCCTATAACGTACATCGGAGGGCGCATATAAGAGTGCAGACTTTAAATAACCATGACAACATAACATTTCAACAGGTTGAATGAACTTTACAGATGTACGACGGATGTTCGGGAATGCTTTCATTACATATATCAACGTAAGTGGGTAATTATGCGAAATCACATGTAGCAGAAGCTGGCAAATTAAAAACAATTATATTGTACTTATACCGGTTGGAAGCTAAAGATTGAATTGAATGTTAAAGGCAGCGGGTGGGCTGACAGGGCTGTTGAGGTCGAATATCGTAAACTGTTGTGCAATGTGAGACTATAGCATAAAACTTCGTACGTTGGTACTTCATACAGTGAATATAATGATCGGATGCGAGAACAGTTCATATTACCTCTTGTGACTTTCGAAAGATGAATTAACTTACGGTCCGTCGTGAATGTTTACTCGACCACAATGTACATGTACGTACATATAAAAAGTGCATGTATTGTATATAACGTTCAGTGTTATGCCTAGGTTTATTGGTCACATCGATGCATGGTTTCTTGGGGATAATTGACAAATTCTTGACTTTATTATTGCAATCCCTTCTGGATATTGCTTCCCAAATCTATCTATAGTTCAGTGGATGTTAATCTAATTAATTGGGAATTTAATTTCATGTTCATTTATGCCTTCGTGGGTTATTTTCCATAACATTTTATGAGGTAAGGGAATAATGTTCTCTGCAATACCTTTCCTAGATGTGGATTCATTCATGCTATGTGGCTCGAGACCTTTCAGTGTTGGCCTTCTTTTAAGTTAGGGCAGACTTATGTTAGTCCTTAGACTTCTTGCATATTATTACTATACAGTGTAGTGTTTTATTTTCTTAATTAATTTCTTAATTGTTTTAAATTCAAAATGTGTACTGTATTTGCTTGTTTACAGTTTCACACCGCTCCCATTAAAACGCCTAAAGTCAATTCCTGTCTCTGGCTACCGTGTCTAACCTCTGCATAGCTAGCTAGATATGTACGCAAACGCGTAGTGAGGGCAGAACAGTGAAAATATCCGCATCACATCCCACAAGCATCTTCATCTACTGGTACAAGATGAGTAAAAAAAAAAAGCGGAACCCAAACCCAAAAAATTATATTTCATATTTAATTTTTTTTGGTCACCAATCATAATAATGACTGGAAAGCCAATTTCATTAGCTACTTTTAGATGAAATAATTACTAAAATTGCTCAATCCGTTCGAAGAATATCACCACGTAAACGAAATGACCCTAAAACCTCTTTCGTCCAAAAAAATGCGGTTTCGAGAATCGCCATCGCAATTGTCTTCAACATCACCAACGATAAAACCTCAGTTGAAAAGTTTAAAATATTCAACAAAGTCCTTTTGAAGGCGCGTCTGTTAAAAAAGTGGATTCTATAAATCAAATTGTTTGCCTAACCAGGGTTGATAAAGATATTGTACAGTTGTTGGCAGTTGTTGAAACAAGTATTCTGTGTCATTTTCTTTGTTGTTCCAAACAATCAGAATACACAATAAACTAATTTTTTTTGACGAAACAGGTTCTAGGGTCATTGCGTTTAAATGTCTAGTGTTCCTACTAAATGTATTAAGAGGGACCCACGTATTCGTTTTCTAGATTTGACCTCTTACAGCTGGCATGCGGGAAGTGTTCTGCCTTCGAGACTGTCGGACCATTCGTTTAGCACCTTCTAGTGTTAGGCCCTATTGATTTGAATACTTAGCCAGCTTTTTTTTGCAATCCATGTGATTTCCGTTAGAAAACCTTGCTCAAGTACTGCAGTTTGCAGCTTACATATCATTTGTTTCATGCCATTGACAAAGGACGATCTGTAAGTTTCCTTATTCTGCATTTTATAATGTGTATATAGCTTTCACTTGCTCATTTACCACCTTTGTTTAAGGCTATTAATTAGTGTCCGTCGTGTTTGTTTAGTCGACAACATGTACATGTACATGTATATTTGCATATAGGCAGTGCCTGCATTGTATATACATGTACGTTCAGTGTTATCTCTAAATAAGGCCCCCAAAAAATATTCGGTCTCTGGTCAGACCAAAGTTCCGGAATTGACGCGGCCACGCGGCTTTTTTTTTTTTTTTTTCTTGTTTTTTTTTCTTCAAGCTTGGATTGTACAGACAAGGTGGGGTACTATTTTGCTTTTTTGGTGTCCTCATGTACATTGGTGTCCTCCATAATTTGCCTTGGTGCTTTCGATCATTTGCCTTGGTGCAATTTCCCATTCCTTGGTGCTCTTTGGTAAAAAAAAAATTGAGGAGGTGCGGAAATAGAGGGCGCTGTTGGAGCTACCGCGGAACATTTTGGAAAAAAAAAGAAGATCGACGCGCATGATTAAAATCGACGCGCGCGCGCTGACCAGAGACCGACTTATTTTTTGTGTTGGCCTAACTGTGCAAGAAAAATCATGGTTTCGTGGGGATCATTTACAAGTTCTTTTCTGGATATTGCTTCCCAAATTTGTGTAGTTCAATGGGTATCAATATGTGGGAAATTCATGTTCATTTTTGCCTTCGTTGGACCATTTTCCATAACATTTTATGAGGTTTAATAATAGGGAATATATATATCTCTAATACATTGTGGATTCACACTAGGTTATGTGGCTCGTGACCTTTCAGTGTTGACCTAGGTTGGGGCAGACTTGTCTAAGTTAGTCCTTAGACCTCTTGAACATTACTACAGTGTAGTGGTTTAATTTCTAACGTCTGAAATGTGTTCTGTATTGTTTATTTACAGTTGCACACCTCACCATTAAAACGCCAAAAGTCAATTCCTGTCTTTGGCTACTTTTCGGGAGGGTGTTTAATCTCATAGCTAGCTATCTACACAAACGTAACGCGTCACGTAGTGAGGGCAGAAGATATCGCTACCCCTAGAACTAGGTGGCTCCGCAAACACATTTAAACGATATGTCAACGTTTTCTATAATTACTACATGACTTATATACTAAAGTACATGAACATGAACCCAGTGCTCAAAAACCGCCGTACAATTGCCCCTAAACACCTTTTGGTACTTTTTGACTTACTCACGTAGCCTGTGTCAACCAAATAATGGGTCATTTCGGTTCCGATTTTGCAAAACTGATGAAGACTCAATCACAGGGCGCCTCGATTATTAATGTTGGAGTACGACACACAACATCCGTCGGGTACGTCAGTAGTACATTCTGAATACAAGATACAGTCGAATGACCAGACGATTGTTGGATGTCGTCCACAGCGTAAATAATTGAGCCGCCCTGTGATGAGGTCTTCTAGTCCCGGTCCGCACGGCCGTTTTGTAGATTTCATCGTTATTTCATTGTATCTGCATGATCTGGGACCCTCCTCGACCATCGATCAAGGACAACAGCCGCGAAGTCACCAGCAGACCAAAAGTGACGCACCTATCCAAGATGGCGAGGTTCAAATCCAAGATGACGCGAAACGCAATATATATTTGAATCCTTAGCAAACCAGCATAACTTATTATTAAGCATTTATTTTGATTTTAACAGTTTACAGAGAGGCGTAGTACCCGTACTGTCTTATGGGACCCACGTCCCTTCCACATTTGAGAAGCGTCTCGACGCCCAATGTCCTGGGGTAGTGAGGCGTCACGTTGCCCCATCAGAATAAGGTTGTCAGTAGCTTGGTCAGGATATGCACCATTACAATTAGATGAAAAATACCGGGGATGTTAGCGTTTGGGATGCCTCAACCTCAATACTAAGTAATACAAACTCTGGAATTTGTTTGTAAATTAAGGGCGACTCTCAGGCCATCTTCCACTGACCTCCCATTCCCATGCTCCTTCTTTAAGGACCTTTCATGACATCCCTCTTCGTGCGATGAACCTTCTTAAAACCATTGAGACGACGCCTGTATCGAGGCCGTCTGGTAGTTTACGGTGCATGGCATACACGATGATCCCCATGCTTCTCACTCCGCCAATTATCATTGGGGCAAAATAGTGTATGACCAACAACATTTGGTTCTTCAATTCAGCACCAATCGCCACGAGCCAAATTTGCCGAAACTAGGACGATTCATGAAAAACAGATTGGTGCAAATCTCATATTGAAATTCTCGTTAGAGCTCAGCATTGAGTTTGAACAAAATGATCGTGCTGGGAATGTGTATGATATAAATGTTTTCAAATAAGCGGAAAAAATATAGGCCAGAGGTTAGGTATTTAACGGTCGAATCCAAATTAGGACACGAGGCAACAAAGTTGTGCCCTCGGAAAGCTCTGATTATTATTATTTTTTCCCAATGAGTCTCTTTCTACAGACCAATTCAGTGAGAAGTACTCAACAGTAGGTCCAACTAAGCAGTTTTTAGCCGACCAATCACTAAGACAATCCAGTTGCTAATGCAGTCTAGTTTGTTCAGGATTGCATCAGCAACATGCTGAAAGGTTTTAAGGATTAAAACATCCCAAGCATAACAAGTATTTGTTAGGGAAAAGAAACCATTTTCACACAGAAATACTTGAGTTATCGCGAACACATCCGAGAGTCATGGGTTTGAATAACGCGGTGGTACGGTAAACCCCAAACATTTGCAGAAACGAGCATTTGTAGGCGCAGCGGCGTAGCCAGGGTTAATTTTTGTTTTACCGGACACCCGCCCGCCGTAAAATCAAATAGTAAGGGGGGGGGGGGGGCCTGACACCATCTTCCCATGAGGGCGCTCTTCCAAACGTATATCAGGCCTACATTAGACAATAACTACCACTTTTCGCTTTTCAAGGGACGTTACAATAAACACTCACTCGCGAATAAAAAATAGAGTTTGGGTAAAAAATACGCACACAATCGCAGAAGAAAGGGACTTTAGATTTGTGTAGCTAATCATGGTAACTCATATGGATGTGCTTGTCTCCGGATGCCAAATTTTCGATGGGGGCTAATGGGGGGGGGGACTTTTTATGGGGGTGGGCGTGCCCCCCAGTCCCCCCCCCCTTCCCCTGTAGCTACGCCGCTGGTCAGACAGTCAGAATCTTTTGGTCTGGCATGCTCTTCGCTGACCTCCTTATACAAATCTGAATAGCCCATTGGCTGTTAGAAGTCCAAGAGCAATTGATTTGTGAAGAAAGGTTGCTAATTTAATTGACACGTAGCCTATACTTCTTACTCAACGAATAATTAATTTAGAAAAAAAATATAGTACCAACAAAATGTATGCTATATACACTTTCTTGCACAAATAATTCGTATACTTTGAGATTTGTATACTTTGTGTTAAAAGCTTTGAACAGAGGGACTGGTTGAGACTGGTTAACACTCTATATTCAAATGGATGGATCAGGAACCAGTACGTAAAGCTTCACGTTTTGTAGAACATGAAATAGCCAACGAGCTACACAGATTTGTCTTTACATGGTGATAAGTGACGCTTTACAGCCGCTCAGTGATAGCTGAAATTCGACGCCATTGTTCTTTTGTAAATCTTTCCGTGCTACTCAGCAGCATTTCATATGATATGATTATGGTGGACACTTGGCAGAGTTCAATATGAACCGAAATGGCGCCCGGTCTCATTATATCCTCCATACCTCTTTTCTTCTTTAGATATGGGGACACTTGGAAGAGTTTTCTAAAACCTTCGGCAAAACCGCAAGGGCCATCATAACGATATAAGTTAATCGGACCATTTTTTCCAAGAGTGTGATTCTTATCTAGAGCGGCAACACCAACTTTCTGTGCTGGAATTGTGTCATCCGGTGCACACATCGTTTTGGCTCTTGTATTTTCCGTTCGATGTGGTATTAGCATCACACACGACACTATCGTTGGTCAGCCAAGGCAGTGAGTATATTTTTAATAAAATTCATAGTTTTAATTAATACATTGAAACATAACCCGTTTTGAACTCTTAATTGTAAACTACATGCAGTATCGCAATATTGTGTAGAGGTACTATGAACAGATTTTCATGCACAGGAGTTTTAATGCGTCATTAACCTGACGTTGAACAAAAGTTTAAATGCGTCACGATATTAACAACCTAAATTCAATGTCAGTCAAACGTCGGTTTGGTAATGTTGTTCCAACGTATTTTGACATTATTTCAACGTTGGATGTTGTATAAATGTTTGAGTCATTTCGTGTAAAAACTTCATATAAGTGTCCACGCTAAAAAAATCGAATTTTTTTAAACTTGAAAGGACTTTGGGAACAAGTAAATAGACTTTTAAAACTTTTATTTTGCCCGTTGCCATGGTTACGGGCCATTATGTGTTTGGCCATTTTTGGGCAATTTTGAGGCTGCAAAAATTATTTTTTTGCGTCAGTTTCAAAGGTCATCAAGCCAAACTGCAAAGTAATGTCACAAAAGTAACTATATCATGACAAAGTATCATCCTTACCCTTACAAGAAAAAAATAGGAACACTTCTGAAATATCTCCTTTATATTATTTTTAGGCCCTATATTTCAGCATGTTTTTACAACTAGCAAAATTGCATTTTCCCCCATTTTTATCCCTCCAAAATGGCACTCAGAATAATTTCCCTTCGGCTATGGTTAGTTGAGGCATTGGTCTTTCCATATCTGGTGAGAAAATTTTGGGTTATTGTATATCCTTTGTGCAGTAGCGCTCCAAAAATGGTAAATTTCACAAAAATCTTAAAAAGTCAATTTTTCAGTGTTTTCCTTTGTTTTGAGTAATAACTTGTATAATCGGTATTGTTCATGAATCTAGCACATTTTCACCAACAGAATCAGACTGTGTATCATTTTTAGGCCAGTGGATGAAGAGTAGGTCGTGTACTCCCCCCCTCCACACACACACACCTGGCTAGGCTCCGCCCACTCCCCCTGTGCCACCTAATTTTGAACTTGTATGTTGCATAACAAAACAAATGTAAAAAAAAAAATAATACGCAAGTGAACACTTTAGAAATAGACCTCCTTTTCAAAGCCTCCCCTTCCCCCACCCGGGGGCATTGTTTGGGGTTGAGGGTGGGGTGTGACCACCCACCAATAACTTGGCATTGTCGGTAAAATCCTTGTCACATGGGCAAAACTCATGTGTTTGCATGCTGCAATGAATAATAATGGCCATATCCATTGTCCATTTAAAAAGTCTATTTTGGTTACTTACTTCCAAAGTCCTTTCATTCCACAAAGTATTAAAAAAAATCGATTTTTTGAGCGTGGACACTGATATGAAGTATTTACACGAAATTAAAATTTGCCTCGCGATAACAACCTCAATTCATCAACGTTGGTGTGATAACGCTGTTTAACGTACATATTTTGACATTAATCCAAAGTTGAATAAATGTCGAAATAATTAACAGTGCGTCGCAATCAAACATATTGCATTGTTTTCAAATTTGAGTAGAGTCCTTACGGTTATTTCAACGTCAATCCTGCTGTATCAAATAACGTATAATTTCAACTATCGAAGTGCAAAATATCATGTCAAGAAATATATAAATAAATGGTAGACTGGTATACTTTTATGATAGAGTCTATTAATACCGCGAATTATTTGTCAGAATGCTAAAGCTGTGACGCTAGCCAATCACACGGCGCGTAATTTGTAACCACATTCCAAGGTTGTGACGCTGGCCAATCAGTTTTCAGCTAGCCATATGACCTATACATATTTTGGACATTAGCTACTGCAGTTGTGTGGACGTGTAGTGCGCAGTCGACGTCATGTTACTCCAATAACAGGTAAGAATTTGCCTCAGAACTCGTAGTTATGTTGCTTCGACAGACCTTACGTTCATTCGCCGCTCTTTACTTATTATTTAATACCTATTTCTTCCCAAAACGATAAACAAATAATTTACACGTCACTGGGGTCGGAGAGACTGGCATGACTGGTTACTGATGATACCGGTTTCGGGTACGTGCGGGAATTAATCTGATCGATGTCAAGATTGATCAGCGTATCACATTTGAACATTTGAAGCGTCTAATTTACATCATTTAAACCTGTCAGACTGACGTCACTATTTTGACTATTAACTTACGTTATAAAACTTCAACGGCTAAAAACTAACACTTTCAACCATGTACTGACCTAACTGCAACCATAACATCCGATGAAAGGACGTTATTGCAACAGTCAGATATAGACGTCAATTTTTGACCTTAAACAGACGTTATAATTTGGTCAGTTTTCGACGTCTAAATAACTTACACTTTCAACCATTAACTGACCTAAATTCAACCAAAAATTAGACGTCCTGTCGGCGTTCACTTCACCAGTCAAATCATGGTCAGACTGACGCTAGTTTGACTATATACGGACATTAGATTTCGGTCAGATTTTTCAAAGTCTAAAAAACTTACACTTGCAAATTTTAACTGACTTTAATTCAACCAAAAATCTGACGTCCTGTCGACGTCCATGTTACCAGTTTGAACATGTCAGACTGAGGTCATAATTTGACCATATACTGACGTTAGAATTTGGTCAGGTTTTCAACGTCTAAGAAACTTACACTTATCGGAGTTGATCGGTATCTGTCGTCAGATTGACGTTAACCCGACCAAAAATGCCTGCTGGGAACCAGCACTAGACATGTACGGCCTAGATGTCGACCGCCGGGATCGATCCGTTGTTTTTGGTGGGCTACGTGGGCTGTTTATGTACTCGGGCTTGGCCAAGTGGGTCCTGTACGTCTGGGCGCGGTGGCCTGTATATTGAGTGGACAAAAAATGGGCTTTCCCATGTAAAACCTTTGTGGGATGATCATGGTTTTTAGTGCATGGGCTGGGAATTGAACGGGCAAGTTATATGGGTCCAATGTTGGGAATTATTGGCTATGTGGGCTGTCTGTGTACTGGGGCTTGATAGGCTTGTTTTAGTGGATCCTTTGTGGGGTAAAGTTTGGAGCGGTCGGCTGTACCATGGAGCTATAATAGCTCCATGGCTGCACACAGTACTTTTCTACCACACTCACTTTCGTTGCCTTTGACTCCCGGTACGGTATGGTAGTTTGAGCTGGGGTCACACGACACACTTGACCTTGCATACCACAGAAACCCGGTTACTGCAGAGTGTGGCTGGTACATTTGAATTTAGCTGGAGACAGGGAACGTACAAGTACATCGTTCTCGCAAGAAAACAGTTGTTATTCATACAGTCACGGTACCAAAATGTGTCGAAATGTATCTCGTATCAAGATATGACTCATGTAGTGCAAGTCTTTTGCTTTTTCCCGGCCTCACTTTGGACAGGCATCATTCTTTGAGAATACAGGTAAGTTTGTATACTGATTTCTGTTTTCAAATATTTCTAATATTTAATTCTACTGAATTGTTTATGCATTATTTTTTATTTGACAGGGCCTAATGATATGATGTAATAAGACTCTTTGCGAATGTACTCTATCAATCACCTGATTATATCTGTTCGAAAAAGCAAGTAAATGGAACATTGACAGTGTACAAATGATATTTGCAAATCACAATTTTTGATCGTAATTGTTATGAACCTCTTCTACATGTTGAATGGAGAATTTTACAAATGAAAACATTGACACCCGATATTGTACCACTGTCTCAAATTTTTCATAAGATATGGAATTTTGCGTCGGGGTGATGTAAATCAAATTAAGTTTGCCCTTCACCGACGTAAAAACACTGTATACTCAGTGTCTTGAATTACATAATTCTTCCAGACCGTATTTTTCTTGATTTTGTTTTTAGGCTGTCTTGTTCTCAATGTCAAGGAACCGGTACGAAGAACAGTCCAACCGATAGCGAAGAGATCTGGCCAAGTGGCTGGTTGGCGGGGGACAGAGACAAACATCACAGAGATGGAAAAGGGCGTAGCGAGCAGAGAGGAATGTGCTAAGAAACAATCTGCAGCCTGAAATTAGTAATTGACTTCAAACAAGACATTAGTTGTTTCAGATTAATTTTTCTACGATGCATTTTTCAGTACGTGTAGATATTTAGATAAAAACGAAGGATGCTTCATGCAGTCTGTGGGGGTAAAATAAGACTAAATTTGATCAGAAATGCATTTTTGTTAAATACAACTAGCAAACCAACTTTGACGGCACGCGTAGACCTGCCCGTGAAAATATTTTTGTTAAAGGTATGTAATGTGTGGAAATATCTTCAGATTACAGATTATCTTCATGTCAGGTAATTCCAAGAGATGTATTTTTTTGGAATACATGTATCTGTGCTGGACAAGTGGTTCGGAATGGTACAACCATAATTCTGGAACACTTTGCATATATTCTTTTTGTTGATGAGACTTACATCTCCAGCACATTTCCAGTTAATGATAACTTTGACCAAGAACTACAAATTCCAGAATTATATAACTTGTTATGATGATTGTCAGTGGAAATTCCGATTTATTAAAGTACATTTTTTCTTTTGACAACTTAAACTATAATTGTTTCTCACTGGTTTGGTGTTTGGTTTTCGTCTCCCATTCTCCATGACCTGAATCAGAGTCCAAACCGAACCGCAGACTACCAAGTATTAAACCAATTTCATATTGTGGAGTGCCCAAAATGAGCTCATCAGTGCTGGACCTGCTCACCTTATTACACAGGGCCTAGATGGGACCCATAGTTGAGCCAGCTTACCAACCCACAAAGGACCCATATTAATACGTACATTTTGCCCATCTGTGACCGGTTAAAAGCGTAGAAGGGACCCACACAGGATCCACATAAGACCTGCATAGGACCCACATTCATATGTGCATTTCGCCCACTTATTTTGACACAAATAGGGCAGATGGGACCCACACAGGACCCACATAGGACCCACATTCATACGTACATATTGTCCACTTATGACCCAGTTAAAATGTAAAAGGGA